TCCCTCTCTCTCTGCCCCTCCCCCGTTCATGCTCTGTCTCTCTCTGTCCCAAAAATAAATAAACGTTGAAAAAAAATTTAAAAAAAAATAAAATAAAAAAAAAATAAATAAACATTAAAAAAATTAAAAAAAAAAAGAACTAAGAAACAATGGAACAATGGAAAAGCAACAACAAAACAGATTTAAACCCAAGCATAGCAAAAAACAAGTAAAAAAAACCTAAGTGTGCCAATAATTACGTATTAAATGTAACTGGTTGGTCAGAGCCCTGAAAATAACTTTCGAAAATATTCTAGTCTGCATCCTGCTCCAGTCTCTTGGTTGAGGGCAGTAAGCCATCCTGCCATTGGTTATCTTCTCCCGTTTGTAGCTATGTCATTAACCACTCGTATGAGAGTTTAATTTCAGTATTTGAAAGAAGTGTTATTTTCAGGGTTTTTGTTTTACTCAATAACTTAAGTGTAAATAGGTAAGTAATGAACTTTTGCTTTTTGGAATAAGATCAGATGGTCTCATTTTTAAAGATGTCATTTATTCCAGGATTAAATTCTTAAAATTACCTTCTAAGTTCTCGATGCTTTTTTATTAGCATCTGATTAGCAACAGATTAAAAGGTGCTATCTTCTTTTTTCATACAGAGGTAGGCTTTTTTCCTAGAGTATTCATTTTTTGAACAAATAATACATTTGCAGGGTTCAAAATCAAAAAAGCAGCCAATACCTTAGAGAGAAAGGCCTTCCTCCTACTCCTGACCCATCCATTCAGTTTATCCAAAACAGTATACAATCGTTGTACTTTGTTACTCCACAGATTTCCTATAAAAGTTATTACCTTTTTCTTTACGAGTGATTCTCTTTCTCGGTCTCTTTTCTTCCATTCCTCTGCAAGAGCCTGCATATGAGCCAATTCCTTCTGCTTTAGCTACACAAGGAAGAAAAAGTCACAAAAAGCACATCAATATTTCAAACACACAAATCAGTCGTTCTCTGTTAAATACTACTGATCACCAGTATGTTTCCTTCAGACCTCCTCTTTTATTCTTAAAACAAAACAAAGAGAATGCCTGAAGCAAGGGATACACACAAGAGTATAAACTAAAATGGGGCGCCTGAGTGGCTCAGTCGGTTGAGCATCTGACTTGGGCTCAGGTCATGATCTCACAGTTCGTGGGTTTGAGCCCTGGGTGGGGCTCTGTGCTGACAGCTCGGAGCCTGGAGCCTGCTTCGGATTCTGTGTCTCCCTCTCTCTGTGGCCATCCCCTGCTTGCTTGTGCACGCGCGCTCTCTCTCTCTCAAAAATAAATAAAACGTAAAAAAAATGTTTTTAAACTGAAGTGAAGACCTGTTTTCTCTGTTTATTGTGGAAAGAGAGATGTTTCTAGGCTCCAGGAGGATATGGTAAACGAGGGCCTGAAATTGAAAGAAATGTTCACTTTCTCAAACACTGACTTCGAACCTTCAGTCCCAATTTTGTCCAGAAGTCATAGACAAGGGGATCCTTCTGCATGGCTTCTGCCAAACTATCATTTATCGAGTTATTTTTTTATTCTGTTTTTCTCTCAGAGTAAAGTATTCTTGCTATTAAGAGGGCTAGACAGGGTACCCGTGGAATAGAGAGGAAAAAAAAAGTCTACTATGGAGAAGAAAAATATTCTAAGTAAACCAATAAAAAAAAAAAGGTTTCAAAGTAACATTTAAAAGGTAACCTGATTTTCGAAAATGTCCTCCTGCATCTCTTTCCACATTTCTAGCTCTAGTGCTGCTTTGTATTCTAAGGTTTCTCGAGGCTCTGTCTGGATTTCTGAAGGACAAGGTGCTGGAGGAAGGGAACATGCCTTCTGTTGCCCAGCAGATAAACCCTAAGACGTGAATGAAAACATATTGAAACAAACACACTCATACACACAATGCATTGGATCCACTACAGTCATGTTGTTTCACATTCACTGTTACTTACCTGAGATGAATCAGATACAAGAATCTCACGCATTTTTACTAGTCCATAATCTTCTAGAGTTACTGTGTAAGAAAGATCCATTATCCTGTTGTTTGACCTACACATGAAGTCAGAAATACTTTAAAATTTGTGGAAACACTATGATTTTTCCTTTTATTTCCCCAACGTTACAGCACTGAGTAGGTCACACTTCTTGTATCTGACACTCGCACTACTCAAACCTCGAGACCTTCCATATATGCATTTTACCTGATCACGGAACTCTTACATACAGACCTACGTTTACTACAAGAAGACCTACATTAGCTATAGATTATTTGGAGAAATTTAAACTCTTACTGCCCAAAGGTAATTACTGCTAAACTCTCATTTCCTTCCTCTCTTCTGTTTTACGTATGTGCAGATACACATGCAGATACACATTGTCCCTTTTTCTCCATGTACATCTGGAGCATTTTCTCATGTCATCAACCTTCATTCAAAAATGTTTAAGTTTTAATGCCTGTAAAATATACTAATAAAATTACACAGTAAAATTAAGACAAAAACTAATTTTCCTCCTCTTGATTATGTAGATTCTTCTGAATTCTTACTCTACTATTTTCCTGGGATGAAGCACTTGTACATAAATCTTTTACTGGATGTGAGCACTGCCTCAGGGTAATTCCTAAAAATAGGATAATTATATGTTATTTCTATCATAAAGAGCATCTCTCTGTCTCGTACAGCTGCATATAGCATTTACCAGAACATCAGAGGAAAATACAGTCTTGCCTACAAGAAACATGGCCTTGTCTAAAATCTATTCCATAAAGCCTTGGTCAAGCAAAAACTTCAATGACTGGAACCCACACAAATAAACTCTTAATAATCATTTTTACATTTTCGTCTAATCTCACAACTTTTAGAAGAAATTAATAAAATACACCAAAGCACTAAGTCTCCTAAAACGTCTCTGTCTACAGAGCAGGGCAACACAAGTTCATATTCATAACCAACAGATTTAAAATAACTAGGAACGATTTAATTATTTTCATTGTGTTCTACGTAATGCGACAAAAGAATGGGATTTTTGGAAGAATTTTCAGTTCACCAGAAGATGTGCTTCTCTAAGACACCTGTTGCCAGATCCTCCAAGTGAATAAAAGTTTTACTAATTCTTTGCTCTCTGGAAGGGACTATAGATGGGGAAGAGCAAGGGAAGGGATTTAAATACTACTTTTAGATCTCAGCTTTTTACTGAGCCTGATTTCTTTGTACATTCTAATTATGCTTCAAAAACCAAGGCATGTGATGTATAATTTTACAGTGTATTTAAATTTCTACTGCTAAATTTAAAAAGACGTATTTAAAATAGATGTATTTTGGGGCGCCTAGGGTGGCTCAGTCAGTTAAGCATCTGACTACGGCTCGGGTCACGATCTCACAGTTCGGGAGTTCGAGCCCCACATCAGGCTATGTGCTGACAGCTCAGAGCCTGGAGTCTGCTTTGGATTCTGTGTCTCGCTCTCTCTCTGCCCCTCCCCGACTCACTCTGTGTGTGTCTGTCTCTCTCTCTCTCTCTCACAAATAAACATTAAAAAAAAATTAAAATAAATAAAACAGATGTATTTTGTGTAAGGTATGTGAACTTCAGTTTTCCATGGTGGCACCAGATTCCAGGGCATAGAAACCATACTCATTTTTTAAAAGTGCCAAACATTTGTAACATTCTCAGAAAATAGATTTGAAGCAAAAGTTAAAATATTTTCAAGGAGAAAAACAGTCATTCCCAAAGCAAAATAATATAAAAATACATTATAAATCTGACCTGGAATTACTAAACACACAAACAAACAACATAGTGGGAAATTAAAACCGTCAGGCTTAACAGAGAGGAGGGAAACATTTAAGATCCTACGTGTTAAGAGTCTTAGAGGGTACAGTGGGATCAGAAAGGTAAAGAGTGCTAAAAAGACAATTAGAATACAGCCCCCCGAGGTCAAAGAAGAACCATCACCACCAAGATGACAGGGACGCGTAAGGCTGTACCCAGCCAATGAGAACAAAAAGCAGGCTATGGCCATTTTGGGAAATCCGTTACCCCTGTGCTGCTATAAAAGGCACACTTTCACTGTACGTCTGACGCCAACACTGTTCACCACTGGAACCTAAAAAGCGAGTTTTTTCTGAAGACAAGACGTTAGAAAGCTGGATCCTGGCGATTCCCAGGAGTAAATCTTTACTCATTTTGTCCTTGTGCCATAATTCAACCAGCAGTGGAATCCTAAGGAAGAGAAAACAAGTGTTCGTATCTTATCATTTCTGAACCAAGTCAGTAGGAGATCTTTGAGTTCCCCAAGCACCAAGATGTTTCTGTCACCTGGGTTGCAAAGGCTCCATTCCACGGGTAACAAACAGAAAATACCATTACAGTTTCTACACCTCTTTCTGTGCAATAAAGAAAACCCACGAAGTGCTATTTTTTACTCTTCCTTCCTCCTTGTAAAATAATATACACACGTGAATTGAGTAAAAAGACGTTTCAGATCTTTTTCTTCACAAATCCATTTCAGATAGGTGCATTAATAACACCTTCATTTTATACAGATGAGGCAACAGAAAAAGCAACCAATTCACTACAGTCAACTGGTGCATCCGTGATAAAACTAAATAGCTTGTTCCTACTGATCTTCACATATTATGAAAAACAAGACAGTAGTCTTTCAAATCGTCTTCCTTACTCACAGATGGTATTTAACACAGTTCTAACCTCCAAATTCAGACAAATAAGATATGAAAATCTGCGAAGAGTCTCCATAACTTCATAAAACTTCAGAGCAGAAGCACCCACGTCACGGACATTACTAATTACATTACTAATACGTGCGTGTCCAAGTTATCAGATGCATTAACTGCTGTGGATCTAAATCTCTAGAAATTCCTCTTGTCAGTAACAAGATACGCATTTTCAAGAGTGGCTTCGTGTCATACACACCATATTTACGTTACCTTAAGAAGGTATCCTGCAGCTGTTGAGGCATAGTTGCAAAGTCAAATGCACAGTAAGACTGTGGAAGAAAAACTTCCATGTTTTTGCGAACTTCTACAGGAGGATTTGTCATAATAGGAGCTGCACTACCAAAGAATGGATAGGAGTACCTAGAATTTAGAAAAAAAACAAAAAACAAACAAAAAAACCAACCTATGATACAGGTTACAGATGAGACTTCTAATCTGTTTTTTTTTTTTTAAGGATAAAATGGATATAACAAATAGAATTTTTAGAATACGTAAGTGGTACAAATACATTGTGGTTCTAATCCTGTCATCAACTTTAAAATTCTGCAAATATTGTCAGCAATTCCAGAGGAAATGCATTATGTGTATATAGCACTAGTTCCCAAAGCTGCTTTATAAGCAATCTTAAGATGAACTTGAGGGCAAGAAGAAGTCTCGTATTGTGAAGGCTGTAACACCGAAAAAGGAAGAGAGAATCATTCTCATACACTCCCAATGACTCTAAAATTTAGGAACGACAGTGACGCCAAACAAAGACCAAGCTGCCCTTTGTCCAGGAGTCCCTTGGGGGCATGGCTCCTGTGTTTTTCATCTCTGCCCTCCCAGCAAAAATAAGCGCTTTTTGGCATAGAGCAAGTTCAGCAGTAGTCAGACACGTTCCCATTTAATCAGGTGTGGTTTCTGTGAAGAAAGGAAGACACAAAAACTAGGATGCATGCCTGCTAAGGGGGCTAGTACAAGGCTTCCCCCTCACAGCTTCTAACTGTAGATCACCTCGATATTTCTATGCTTCTAGCCAACACTATCTCTAGGTACCCTAAGATCACATTGTCTAGTAGCAGCAGAAAAGAGATCTCAGTTAAAAAAGTAGAGGGATAGGGGCGCCTGCATGACTCAGTCGGTTGAGCGTCTGACTCCTGATTTCAGCTCAGGTGATGATCCCAGGGTCATGGGATGGAGCGCCATGTTGGGATCCACACTGAGCCTGGAACCTGCTTGAAATTCTCTCTCTCTCCCTCTGCACCTCTGCCCTGCTCGTGCTCTCTCTAAATAAATAAAATCAAAATAAATTAAATAAATTAAAAACAGAGGAAGACAAAAAGAGTAGAAATACTAGTAACAATTCTGTTTCTAAAAACAATTTTAAGAGAGGTTTTATAAACCCTTTGAGAAAAGCTCTGTTAGAGACAGAGCTTTTTCTCCCTCAATTTTCAAATAACATATTAATAATTATTCTCAGCCTCTGAGAAGAGTTAAACAGTACAACTTAAGCTGTGATGGAAACAATGCCATTCTGTGAATTCACAGTCACACCCAGTGCTGGGTCCCTTTGATTTTGTACATCGTTCACATCCAAGCTGAGAGGATTCTGGATAGAGCTGGAGAGGAATCTAAGACATGAAGGAGTAGATACAAGTATGAGTTAACTTATGCATTTAAAAGGCACGTATGCCTCAAATACCAGCAGGAAGCAGTGCGTAGCTGTGGACGTTCCTGGAAACGGCAGTCCAAGAGGACAGAAAGATTTTCTCATTTTAGTTGCATCAAGAGCACCAACTTTGTTAGAAAGGCTAGTGCTTGCTCTGAAGAAATTTGTAAGGAACAACTAACCACTCCCAACTAAAACACATTAATATATTACATTTGATATACATTTCAACCAGAAGGTTTATGAAAATGTATTATTGTTAATAACAGGCTATTGAGTAGAGCCATTTAACTGACTGAAATATGTAAGTAGTTCAATTCTTTATATGGAACAGGGTAGACACATTCCACGTGCAACCCATTAAGGATGGTTCTCAGTCTCATTTATCAAGTAGTAGAGATACAACTTCCCATTATAATACAGTTTTATAGAAAAACAAGATATTACACTTCCCTGAATTTGCCGTGACACCTTTTCTAGAAACAATGCTTTTTTTCCCCATTTTTTTAACGTTTATTCATTTTTGAGAGACAGAGAGACACAGAGCACAAGAGGGGGAGGGGCAGAGAGAGAGGAAGACACAGAATCTGAAGCAGGCTGCAGGCTCCGAGCTGTCGGCACAGAGTCTGATGCGGGGCTTGAACCCACGAAGTGTGAGATTGTGACCTGAAGTCGTACGCTTAACTAACTGAGCCACCCAGGTGACCTTCTGAAACAACAAATTTTAAGAGTCGCTCTCTTTGAATAGAAGCAGTAGTAAATTATCACCAGCACCTACAATTATCACCACCTCTCATACCACCAATGCCACCAACGCACCCTTGTTGAAATTCGAACTCATGAGGACAGAACCTTGCAGGCTTTTTCAGTCCACAGGGTTTAACGAATGTTCTAACTTCTCCGGTGATGTTTCTCCCTCTGAAACTCCCAAGTAGAGAAAAGGCACTGCTCTTCAGAAAAGAATACTTTGAAACAAAATCATATCACACCTTAACATACAGTTGATTGGAAAACCAGCTTCCAAATCATGGATACTCCTTAAGTCTATTGAGAAGCAAAAATGATGTGATGTCGCTGGCACCGCAATCTTCTGTCCCGAGGCGGTTTCTGAAGCAGTGGCTGTGGTCACTGGCTGGGCCACCGGAAGAGGCAAAGAAGAACCCATGGCTACAATGAACATAAAAATTTAATAGAAAAAAAATCCCACTCGGTAACACTTTCTCTTCCTTTATTTACCTCACTTAAAGATACCATCTCATTTCCCTCTAAGCAAGAAATGTGATCATCTGGTTTCATAAACCTCTGAAATGAGGCATAGGAACTTCTTTTTTTTTTTTTTTTTTTTTTTTTTTTTTTTTTTTTTTTTTTTATTTTTTTTTTTTCAACGTTTATTTATTTTTGGGACAGAGAGAGACAGAGCATGAACGGGGGAGGGGCAGAGAGAGAGGGAGACACAGAATCGGAAACAGGCTCCAGGCTCTGAGCCATCAGCCCAGAGCCTGACGCGGGGCTCGAACCCACGGACTGCGAGATCGTGACCTGGCTGAAGTCGGACGCTTAACCGACTGCGCCACCCAGGCGCCCCAGGCATAGGAACTTCTTAAAGTGACTTGCCCCCAAATTAGGTAGGCTTTAATTCCCATTTTTAGAACTGTGTAAAGAAGGCCCCCCTCTCCACATCGACTGCACACCACAAAAGTGCTAACATACGACAGCAGCCCAGCAGGCGCCAACTTATTTCCAAGAGGCAGCTAACCTTAACTTCGAGTTCGAGGGGTTGTATGGCAGACTTAATGCAGGCATCATTACATCGCTTCTGAAGACACAGTTCTGGCTACAGAAGGCACACAGGACATAGTCTGACAAAAAGAGAATTCTCCTCCAGTCCCACTGCAGACCAGAGATGGGTAGCGAGTGGCCCAAGTCCTACAGCTACTGAGTGACCGAGGGATCACTTGCACCTTAACTTCCGACTCCTGATCGAACACTGTTCTAATTACTTCCGCTACAAGATCTAACTGCGGGTCCTGGTACAGTGGGTGGAAAATTGACACAACCAGGTAAAACCATTCTCAGGCTCTCCCTTAACTTTAGCATCAAAAATGGGTATAACAAGTTTATTACAACAGGCAGTTAGTAGCTCTTCTCTCTAAAATTCCAATGGATTCAAGATATTCAAGCGTTGCCTAGTGAAAAATATGTTAGCGAGAACTATTTTCTGTCATTTCTTCTCAGTAAGCTGTGTCTAAAATAAAAGTAATTGAACAATTCTTACCTGTTAGCCAATTCTGTGATGAAGTTACAGGCTCAATTTCAATTCAATTCAATTCCATTTAAACTGAATTTTTACATCACCACACATTATTGGCTCTTGAAAGAAAATCAAACTCACAATATACTGACAAACGGCGAAAACGTTCTTCATCGTTAAGTAGATGGCTACAAAACGGACGCTTGGAAGATGTGTGAGAACGTCTTACCCTTTGCGTTTGGTTTCATGTCCCTGTCATACTGCAGGCTCTCCACTTCACTTCCGGTTGCATCATCTTGGGTTGGAGGCGACTGGTTTTGAGGTGGAACAGGGGACACGCTTGGTGACTTTGGCCCAGCGAGCGTTTTCTCTTTTACAGGAGTTAAAACTTGCTTCTTTGATTGCTGTGGCTCATGTTCGTTCTGGGTCTTTAATTCAATTAAAGACTAAAAATAATTGTTAAATAAAGTATGATTCGCAAAGCACTTTCCTTCATCATTAAGCAAAAAAAAGTCACTTTTTTTTTTTAAAGTAATAGCTTCCCTTCCCACTTTAGATATTCCTAGTCTATTTTTCTTCATCATTTGCAAATTTTCATATAGCATCTAGAACCAGAAAAAGGAAGATGGACAGGAAGGAAACAGGATATCCAGAGCTGAGTACCAAAATATATCCTAACTGGTAAGAAGGGATATTTGGTGTAAGAAGTCAGGGACAGGCGTCCCTGGGAAAGGTTATTGTTAGTTACCAAGGCAATAAATACAATGGAGGCCTATGTTAAAACAAAACCAAAATAAAAACAGATCTAGCATGATTTTCTTCCTTTGTTCCACTTCCTTCTAAAAATATATGCATATATATTTTAATTCATATATATATACATAGATATATATATGTATATATATCTATGTATATATATATATATGTGTATATATATTCAAACTCTCACATCAGTTTTTCTGTCATTTGTAATCTACATAAAGATCAGTTCTTCAGAAGAACAGTACATGGAAGCTGATTCTGGGACTATATACAATCAAAAAACATATACATCCAAACAAATACCATCTCTGTTGCCTAAAGAGAGTACGGGGACCAGAAAGCACTAATGAACCAAGAACCCTGTCTTTAAGCTAAAGCTGAGTCCACCAAAATGATACCATGAGTGCAGATTCCCAGAAATGAGGTCCATCTCTGCCAGTGACTAACCATGACCTGGGGGGTGGGGGGTGGAGGGGAGATTCCTAGCATAGGAGAAAACGGTACGTGAAGGCCGTGTTATCACTTATAAACTACAGCCAGGGCAGCTACAGTACTTTCCAGAAAAGAAACACCTATAATGGAGGCCACTAATTAAGAATAATAAATACTTGCTTACACTAGGTCACTCTTGAAGTTCAACTTTTATCGGGAGTCATGAGTGACACCGGAGTGACAGCGCAGAAGCTGGAGGAGGAGATAGAGGGGTCACTACTTGCCTGGGCATCTACGCCTTCTCTCTGCAGAGCCACAGACACGCCCACAGTGGGGGCCAGCTGCACAGGAATAGGTGCAAGCTTTTGCTTGGCTCGCTTCGGAGGGTCAAGAATAAAAGCACCCTCAACTGTAACGGGGCGCTGGTTGATTTCCGTACTCCCCTTTTTCAGCAGTCCGGTTAAGGGCACTTCTGTACTTCCAAGTGACTGGTCTCCGCAGCAAAGATGGATCTGATATGAAAGAGAAAATCGGAATAGGGCCTTATGGTCTCTCCTTTCTCCTAAACACATCAACTTTAACCCAAGGTTATAACCTGATCCAGAGAAGGGAAGTGTAATGCAGGTTATCTTCCTGACCTACAGCAACTGCGTCAAAGAGTCTCATACTTGATTGTTCAAACTGTTGATAAGGCATAAACTTTCCTAAGAACTCAATAATAAAGCTATTCTTTTTCATTTTTTCTTCCAGTGTTGTATAATCATACGTTATCACCCTTTTCTCCTTCAGGAATTATGGTTACTTTAATATCTTACTGGGTTGTTTTGACATAAGCAAATATATCATGAATACATGAACGTAAATAGAAAACAAATACCTCAAGCAATGTTTCTATTTCGATTTCAAAATTAATCTCAACAGTTGTAAAAAAAAAAAATAATAATAATAAGTAAGTTAGTAGCTCCAGCCCTATTTGGAAAGTAAAGAACTTGAAATAATTCTGTTTTATTTGCCCATAAAACATCTTTAGTGTTTCTTTCTCTTTTCTTGCTTTTCAGAGTTCATATATAAAACAGCGTTTAACGCTACAAGGTAAAACAGAGTACCTCTCGGGTGGAGCGTATTGTGTATCACTGATAGCTAATCAAAACTTCAACATTACCCCCTTTCGAAACTACCCATCACCTACATACTATAGTATCAACTTGTTTACCTTCCTGTACTGGCATTCAGATGCACAATAAGCAGTCACAATGCGAAACTATTTTTAGTTCTAATGTCAGCAATGACTTGTAATTTAGTCTCAATGTTATTAGGTGTGATGGTGTTAATGGGCTGGAGAGAAAGGATTTTTACGACTTAAATGTCTAGGAGAATTAAAGTAAGAAAGAAGTCAATACTTTGGTAAAGACTGGTATTTTAGATGTGGAATAAATCTCAAGATGTTTAGAAAGCTAAAATCCAGTCTATGGCCATACCACCCTGAACACGCCTGATCTTGTCTGATCTCGGAAGCTAAGCAGGGTCAGGCCTGGTTAGTACTTGGATGGGAGAAGGGTTAACATCCATATGAAAAGATAAAATACAGGAAGAAAGCAGTTCATCATTTTATATAGTATTCAGCTACTTAGAATCCTGAGTTTAGCAGAACCACGTCCAAAATATACCTCTATTACAATTTCTTAAAGGCTCTTCCCACCTCCCACCCAAATTGCAAGCAAAATCTAAAGACTGATCACTTTTAAAAAATGACTACCGGGGCGCCTGGGTGGCGCAGTCGGTTAAGCGTCCGACTTCAGCCAGGTCACGATCTCGCGGTCCGGGAGTTCGAGCCCCGCGTCAGCTCTGGGCTGATGGCTCAGAGCCTGGAGCCTGTTTCCGATTCTGTGTCTCCCTCTCTCTCTGCCCCTCCCCCGTTCATGCTCTGTCTCTCTCTGTCCCAAAAATAAATAAACGTTGAAAAAAAAAAAAAATTTAAAAATGACTACCTAATCCTTTATTACACTACCCCATTTCAGTCTGATTAAAATCAATTGTGATAGGGGCGCCTGGGTGGCTTGGTCGGTTGTGCATCCAACTTCAGCCCAGGTCATGATTTCAGGGTCCGTGAGTTCGAGCCCCGTGTCGGGCTCTGTGCTGACAGCTCAGAGCCTGGAGCCTGTTTCAGATTCTGTGTCTCCCTCTCTCTCTGCCCCTCCCCTGTTCATGCTCTGTCTCTCTCTGTCTCAAAAATAAATAAACGGTAAAAAAAAAATTTTTTTTTAATTAAAAAAAAAAATTTTTTTTTAATTAAAAAAAAATCAATTGTAATAAAACAAAGAACAGTAAATTCACTGAGTAAGCTTCACTTAAAGAGAGTCCAATAGAACGTTACTTGACAAAATTCCTTGATTCAAGGGCAGGTTTTAGAAAGTTGGGTTATTTCATGCCTTTTTTTTAACGTTCATTCATTTTTGAGAGACAGAGACAGAGCATGAGTGGGGGAGGGGCACAGAGAGAAAGGGAGACACAGGATCAAAATCAGGCTCCAGGCTCTGAGCTGTGACCCACAGAGCCCAACGTGGGTCTTAAACCCACCAAGCATGAGATTATGACCTGAGCCAAAGTCAGATGCTTAGCCAACTAAGCCATCCAAGCACCCCTTTCTTAGCTTTTAATAGCAATTGGGTATATACATTCTGAAATCCAGGGCATGATCTGTGTATGACTACTAAGCCCCCTAATTAATGATGAAATCTTCCCTGAGCCCACAACTTTAGGCTCTCTATACATTTTCTATTACACAGACTGTCAACTGATACGCGTCTTTACCCAGTTATGATGAAAAGAGGGGTATCTCCTAAAATTCTCAAGTAATGGCTATACTAGGGACTTCACAAGCCAGGAGAATTCCTAAAAAATGACAAGATACGGGGGAAAGATGACCTTCACTACTCAAATAAGAGTCTTGGTACCTCTATGAAGCTTTAAAAAATCATCTCAAGTTGGGGCACCTGGGTGGCTCAGTCACTTAAGCATCTGACTTCGGCTCAGGTCATGATCTCACGGTCCGGGAGTTCGAGCCCTGTGTCGGGCTCTGTGCTGACAGCTTGCTCAGAGCCTGGAGCCTGCTTCGGATTCTCTGTCTCCCTCTGTCTTTAACCCTCCCCCACTCACACTGTCTCTAAAATAAACATTAAAAAAAAAAAAATCTCAAGTGAAAAAGAGTTCCTGCCGTACTTACCTGTAGTTTAGACTGAAGTGCCAGGTAAACACGAAGAATTTCTATGCTGCTACGTATTCGAACAGATGCTCTCTCTGGCTCAAAGTTTGGGTTGATCAAATCACTGAAGGGTTCATTTGTAACATCATTTCCCAGCAAAGAATAGTAAAAGAAAAACTCAGGCTGTCTTTCTGGAAGTTTCATGGTACACGGAATTAACTAAACATTTAAGAAGGAAAAAAAAGAGTATTCATTTATAAACCACTAAACAGGCTTATGAATGTCTGATGAACTCTAAAATTTACGCTAAAATGTTGATTTTATTTCAAAGTCTTAAAATCACTCAAAATTTCTTAATCTCTGAAAAATTACGACCTCACGACTAGTTTAACTTTTCAAGGTTTACCTTAGAAAAGCCCAGAGACTAAAATATTTTTTTAGACATATGTTTTGTTTTAAAGTGTACTTTTCGGGGCGCCTGGGTGGCGCAGTCGGTTAAGCGTCCGACTTCAGCCAGGTCACGATCTCACGGTCCGTGAGTTCGAGCCCCGCGTCAGGCTCTGGGCTGATGGCTCGGAGCCTGGAGCCTGTTTCCGATTCTGTGTCTCCCTCTCTCTCTGCCCCTCCCCCGTTCATGCTCTGTCTCTCTCTGTCCCAAAAAAAATAAATAAACGTTGAAAAAAAAATTAAAAAAAAAATAAAGTGTACTTTTCATCCAACTGATCCATGAACGAGTACGTGTAAGTTCTTTTAGAAGCAAGCGGTCACATATTTTAAACTGAATCTTCTTTACTTCCATATACCTTATTTCATCTTCTTCTTACTCGGCCACTGTCTTCATACATAAGAGGAGGGTTTTAAACACACGTCAGGCAGGCTATTTAATGTAACACCTTAGTCCACGCCTTTGAGAAAAAAGCTTTCTAGACACTCTGTCAAAATTGGGAAACCTACAAGTTAACAGTTGCAAAAGGATGTTTCCTGTTTCTCAAAACTGGCAGCTTCATGGCCACCTATGGCGGAAACACAGATTCCTGTCCCATAAAATATAAAATATCCAACAGACCCTAAGTGTTCACTAGGATGTTGTTAAAAATAACAAGTGTTGTATTCATCGGTAGAGGATGGCTTAAATATATTTTAGTTATCATACAATATGGCTGCTAAATAATGATATACTGACATGGAAGTTATCTAAGACATACTCTTAGGCCAAAAGAAGTTACAGGACAGTTTGTATGGTTCATGAAAATAAAAGAATTAACCGCTTAGAATATAGCAGCTCTGTATTCAATATATAGCAAATATTCAATAAAATTACTTATTTTGTGTAAAATAACGTAGTAAATACTCAGTAGCAATTTTTCGTTTTGTATAGAGTATATTTTTACATGTAAATGTTTACTTTAGTCCCATACATTCATGAATCTGAGAAAAAATGTATTTGAGTAGATCTTAATCATGTAGATTTATACATAGACAGGCAGCATTTATACACTGACAGTTGCTAAGAGCAAGTTCTGGATTACACCCCCAATCCTGGTTCCATCAATGGCTTACTGTGAAGCTCTGGGCAAAGTGCTCTATCACTCTGTACTTCCATTTCTTTTAGGGTCAATAAAAGGGATTACAAGAGAAAAAAACATGTTCAAGTGGACACCACCACCACCCAGCAGAGTCAGCTATTATGTGAACAAGAAAATGTCTGAAGAAAAAAAATACAGTACCTTGTCACCAGTGATTATTTTTGAGTTCAATTACAAGAGACTTTTTTTTTCCCTTTGGTTTCTTCCACAATCACAAAGCAATAAAAATTTTAAGAAGTAAAGATGGTCCTTAGATATTTCATAGCGTACTTCATTTTTTAAGTAATTCCACTAAGAAAAGATTCTTTTAAAAATCCTTTATCATCCTTGTTTGTTTTTTTAACCCTCAACTTTCAGTATCTAAGAAAAGGAGGAATGCACGATTATCACCGCCTGGTCGCTGCCCCAAGCTAACTCCTCCATTCTACCACTTGATAGCAGTGGGTTCTAAGTCACTGATGTGCATCTGAAAAGGTATTTTTCGTTGGTTTGTTTGTTGCCAAATGCTTTCTCACACCACCTTTCACTGCCTCGAAGAGAAAAAACTAAATGGCTAATTTATAAAATGCTTGGCTTGGGGCACGTGGGATGGCTCAATCCAATTCTTGATTTCTTCTCAGGTCATGATCTCATGGCTTATGGGATTGAGCCTCACATCAGGCTCTGCACTGACAGCACAGAGCCACTTGGGATTCTCTCTCCCCTCTCTGCCCCTGCCCTGCTCATGCACTCTCTCAACAAAAATTAAGAAAGGTACCAAAAAAAAAAAAAAAAAAAAAAAAAAAAAAAAAAAAAAAAAAGTCTTGTCTTTAAAAAATGAAAAAAGCAAACAATAAATATTCAACAGTATCAAAAGATGAATACACTACTGGACTTAATTTTTTGTGTTTTTTAATTATTGTAAAATACACAGCAGAAAATCTAACACCGTAACCACGAGAACATGCACACCTCAGTAACAGAGTACATTCACAATGTCGTTTATGCGCCCACATCTAGTTCCGTGAGGCTGTCACCATCCCCAAGACAAATACCGTAACTGTTACGCACTCACTCCCCATTTCCCCCTTCCTGCAGCCTCAGGAAACCACAAAATGTGCTTTCTGGCTCTATGGATTCACCTATTCTAGATATTTCACATAAATGCCATCACACATCATGTGACCTTGCGTGTCTGGCTTCTTTCACTCGGCAGGTTTTTGATGTTCATCCACGATGCAGCACATGTCAGTGCCCCATCCCTTTAGAGTTGAGTAATATCCCATTATACACACAAATACTTGGTTTATCCACTCATCCACTAATGGACATTTGGGTTGTTTCCACCTTTTAGATACTGTGAATACTGCTATGAACATTCCTGTACACGTTTTTGTTTGAACACCTGTTCTCAATCCTTTTGATACACACCTAGCAGTGGAACTGCTGGGCTCCATGGTAATTCTGTTTACTGTTTCTGAGGAACCCATTTTGGCTTAATTTTTAGCAGCGAGAGCCAACAGGCAATTATTCTGGTTTTGAGTTTTTTTTTTAAAAAACTAAGTAACTAACCAGAATGGCATATTTGGAGCAATCCATAGGCAGGGCTTTATGAAGAGAAGAAAAATAGAGAAAGTGATACAGAAAGGCAAAAACACGAATTTAGTGCGACAAAATTATACATACTCCCTGAGAAAAATCTTTACCTGACAGTCTTGCAAGTCATATAAATCTGTGGTCACTAACTCATATTTCACTTGTAAATGCAGACTATGTGGGAACTTTGTACTTCTAAGAAAGCTATTAGTATGGTAAAAATTTAAGTCATGAGCCATATTCTCTATTTTTGAAAAGATTAATTTACTTCAGCTGCTATCGACCAACATAATGTCAAGAAAACTGGGCTAGATCCTGAGAAGGAAAATGAGGTACCAGCTCATGTTATGCTAAGCCATTTTGGGGAAGAGGCAATGCTGACGTGGGTCTTGAGTCCCTGCACTTCCTGCTGGGGCACTGACCACCCTCACACAGGCCACTTCCCTGTGTTGCTTATACAGCTGGTAACCTAGAAGGATTAGGTCAAGTGTCTTCCTGGGGAGACCAGGCGACTTACAATCAAAGTGTTCTGTTCCTCAGCTGTGATGGAAACCCACTCTGTACAGCAGCAACCTGGGCCCCTCGATGTCACCCCTTGGGACCTAAGGTAACGAAGACTGCAGGCAACATGCAGATGCTGATGTCTGCTGTGCCGAGAGTAATACAGTCCTTTGTCTCTGACCCAGGAACCTCCTGTCATCTGGCAACATCCAAGAAATTCTAACTGGCTAATCTGTCAGTTTGTAAATAAGGTAAAATCTAATTCCAGACATGATACCCAATAAAGTATGACTGGGACCAAGTGTTCCCAACATTGAACATTTCTCCAAAAAATAAATATTTCAATACTTAGAAAGAAAAACCCTTTCAGACCAGTCTTTACAATGCCACATGGTACAATGGGAAACAGTGTTTACTGATGGGCTTTCTTCTAAATGTCCAGAGATTTAATTCATTCTCTTACTACTAACATCATACCAATTTATTCTTTTTTTTTTTTTTTTCAACGTTTATTTTATTTTTGGGGGGACAGAGAGAGACCGAGCATGAACGGGGGAGGGGCAGAGAGAGAGGGAGACACAGAATCGGAAACAGGCTCCAGGCTCTGAGCCATCAGCCCAGAGCCCGACGCGGGGCTCGAACTCACGGACCGCGAGATCGTGACCTGGCTGAAGTCGGACGCTTAACCGACTGCACCACCCAGGCGCCCCCCAATTTATTCTTAAAGCGAGAAATATTTTCTGGTATGAATGGAAACATGTTTCTACATTTTTTTAAAGCAAAAAAACAGTCCACTTGCACATCTTTTTAATACCCAAAAGGCAAGTTTTTAAAAAGTCAATGTTTTCCGCTCTTTGTGAATCACTAATCAGAAGGAAAGTCTTACCTGCTCCAGTTGGGTGGCAAATGCTATGGTCACTGACATAATGAAGGAGTCTGTGCAATGCTCGGCTGGTCCGATCTGATGGTAGCCTCCCTCCTCATTCAGCACTGCCACAATGTCCTTGGGGTTGAGGCCAGACAAGCTGGCAGGTACTTTACGGGGAAAAAACACAATTAAACTATGTCACAGTGTGCCATAAACGACTGTGAAGGTTTTGAAAGCTGGGTACGCTTTGTATCTTGCTTGCAGTTTTCATGGATATAGTATCTCAATAAGGTTTCCTTGGATGTTCTTGTTTTTCACACCCTCAAAAAAAAAACCTTACTTAAGCACCGTTTTCTTTCTGCACATAAAAGCCTTATTTTGGAATACGGTAATATTTTTAAAATAAATAAACCACAAAGAAAAGACATTATAGGTTTCCTGAAGGCAGTGAATCTCAACTGGGAACTGAAAAATAAACTCCATGTGGCTAAGAAGAGAAAGGTGAACATACACAGGATAAGGGAGTAGAAAAGAGTGTTCTAGGCAGAAGGAACCGCACTGCAGAGACTGGGAAGGAAGAGAAAGCCTGTCGTTGGAGAAGTGAGGTAGGCGTGGCGCTGATCACAGGGTGATGACCGACATGGAAGGCACATGTCACGGGGCTGGAGGGCTAAGCAGAGGCTTACTGGATGCCACGCTAAACAGTGAGATAGTTTCCTAAGAGGGAACTATGAACCAATTAGGAGAAGAGAAGTGGCAGAATTCACACCTCATATGTATACATACCCTATCAGTAAGTAATCCTCTCCGGATTCAATTTTCCAGGCTGAGGTGCAAATTGCACCTCTGGCTTAAAAATGAGTCTCTAACAAAACTCTTTAGCTAAAAGACAGCTCTCACTCTGATGGGGGATGGAGGGAGGGGTAATATGCAGGGTTAATCCTGAGCGTCTGACTCTTCCTTTCAGCTCAGGTCATGATCTTGCAGTTGTGAAATCAAACCTTGCGATGGGCTCTGCCCCAGAGCCTCCTTGAGATTCTCTCTCTCTACCCATGCCTCTGCCCCTCTTCCCTTCTCGCCTCATCTCTCTCTCTCTCTCAAAATAAATAAATACATACATACATACATAAAACTTTAAAAAAATATAAGAGGGGCACGTGAGTGGCTCAGGGAATCGAGGGTATGACTCTTGATTTCAGCTCAGGTCATGATCTCGTGGTTCATGAGTTTGAGCCCTGCAGTGGGCTCTGTGCTGACAGCATGGAGAGACACCTTAGGATTCTCCTCTCCCTCTCTCTCTGGCTCTTCCTCACTTGAGCAGGTGTGTGTACACACACACACACACACACACACACACACACACTCTCTCTCTCTCTCCCCCTCTCTCTCTCTCTCTCAAAAATAAATAAATAAATAAAAATAGCATCATGGTTTAGAGCAGAGACACTCGGGTAACACAGACCAAGGTTCCAATCCCAGTTCTGCCATTTGCTAGTTGTATGTTGTAACCATATGATCTCTTTTAGCTTCCATTTTTATTTCTGCAAAGCTTTTATGTCGTTTAGAAGATTAAATCAAAGTAATACATTTAGTACAGTATCTGACAATCACTTTAATAACGATAGCCATGAAATATTAAGGTCAGCAGAGCTTAGAAGTCAGCAGAATAACTATGACAGGTCTCCCATTGTCAGGGAGTTACAGGTATGGAAAGGAAGAACAACTAGGAAAACTCTTACAGAAGACTGGATGGAATGAAGATGTCAATGTGAATGTATGCTCTTCACTAAATGTGTAAATAAACAGAGCCATAAAGGTGTATATGTGTGTGTTACTGGGGTGTGTGTGTGTGTGTGTATATATATGTGTGTATATATATATATATATATGCATATATATATATACATACATCCATGTTTACGTATATATGTGTATGTATACACACATGCACCGATTCCCTTTTTCCACTGGAACACCCCAATAGCAACTGGCATATCTTGCACTTGGAACTTGACTCTTCAACATCTTTCTTTACTAGAAGGAAGCAGGCTCCTTAAAGAAACAGCTGAACCCAGGGCTAAGATAGGCAAAGAACAAGATAAGCCTGGATCATCTTCTTATGCCAGAAACCAAGAAAAAGCTCAAAGAATTACGGACACAGGCTATCTGTCAATAATCACTCTGAATGTATATGGACTAAATGCTGCTCCAATCAAAAGATAGAGAGTATCAGAATGCATAAACAAACAAACAAAAAAAACCAAGACTCATCTATATGCTGCCTGTAGACACATTTTAGACCTGAAGACACCTGCAGATTGAAATTGAGGGGATGGAGAACCATTTCTCACGCTAATGGATGTCAAAAGAAAGCCCGGAGTAGCCATACTTCTATCAGACAAACTAGATTTTAAGCCAAAGACTGTAATAAGAGATGAAGGGCATTATATCATAATTAAGGGAGCTATCCCAAGAAGACCTAACAATTGTAAATATTTATGTTCCTGATATGGAAGCACCCAAATCTATAAATCAGTTCATCACAAGCATAAAGAAACTCATCGATAACAATGCAATAATAGTAGGGGATTCTAACACCCACTTACAGCAATGGGCGGATCATCTAAGGAGAAAAATCAACAAGAAAACAATGTGTTTGAATGACACACTGGACCGGACAGACTTAAGATATATTCAGAACATTTTATCCTAAAGTAGCAGGATACACATTCCTGTCGAGTGCACATGGAACATTCTCCAGAATAGATCACGTACTGGGTCACAAATCAGGCCTCCAGAAGTATAAAAAGACTGAGGTCATACCATGCTTATTTTTATACCACAACACTATGAAACGAAGTCAGCCACAAGAAAAAATTTAGACAGACCACAAATACATGAGGATTAAAGGACATCCTACTAAAGAATGAATGGGTTAACCAGGAAATTAAAGAAGAAATTAATACATAGAAGAAAATGAAAACACAACAACCCAAAACTTTTGAGATGCGCCAAAAGTGGTCCTAAGAGGGAAACATATTGCAGTACAAGCCTACTTAAAAGGCAAGAAAGGGGGCGCCTGGGTGGCGCAGTCGGTTAAGCGTCCGACTTCAGCCAGGTCACGATCTCACGGTCCGTGAGTTCGAGCCCCGCATCGGGCTCTGGGCTGATGGCTCAGAGCCTGGAGCCTGTTTCCGATTCTGTGTCTCCCTCTCTCTCTGCCCCTCACCCGTTCATGCTCTGTCTCTCTCTGTCCCAAAAATAAATAAAAAACGTTGAAAAAAAAATTTAAAAAAAAAAAAAAAAAAGGCAAGAAAGGTCTCAACTACACAGCCTAACCTTACACCTAAAGGAGCTAGAAAAAGGACCAGCAAATAAAGCCTAAAGCTAGCAGAAGAATGGAAATAATACAGATTAGACCAGAAGTAAATGATATAGAAACCATAGAACAGATCAATGAAACGAGGAGCTGGTTCTCTGAAAGAATTAATAAAAATGATAAGCTCCTAGACAGACTTATCAAAAAGAAAAGAGATAGGACCCAAATAAATAAAATCACAAATGAAAGAGATCACAACCAACACCGCAGAAATACCAACTATAAGAGAATATCATGAAAAATTATATGCTAACAAGTTGGGCAACCCGGAAGAAATGGATAAATCCCTAGAAACATACAAACCACCAACACTGAAACAGGAAGAAACAGATAACTTAAACAGACCAATAACAAGCAAAGAAACTGAATCAGCAATCAAAAATCTCCTAAAGAACTCAAGTACAGGGCCAGATGGCTTCCCAGGGGAATTCTCCCAGCCATTTAAAGAAGAGTTAATAGCTATTCTCAAACTGCTCTGAAAAAATGCAAATGGAAGGAAAGCTGCTAAACTTACCTTGATTCCAAAACCAGACAAAGACCCCACTAAAAAGGAGAATTACAGGCCAATATCCCTCATGAACATAGATGCAAAAATTCTCAAGATACTAGCAAATCAAATCCAACCAGTACATTAAAAGAATTATTCACCCGTATCAAGTGGAATATGTACGGGCGGCAAGGGTGGCTAAATATTTGCGAGTCAATCAATGTGATGCACCACATTAACAAAGGAAAAGATAAGGACCATATGATCCTCTCAATAGATGCAGAAAAAGCACTTGACAAAATACAGATCTATTCTTGATAAAAACCCTCAACAAAGTACGGACAGATGGAACATACCTCAACTTAATAAAGACCATCTATGAAAAACCCACAGCGAACATCACCCTCATTGGGGAAAAACAGAGCTTTTCCTCTATGGTCAGGAACAAGACCAGGATGTCCACTCTCTTAACATAGTAGTCCAAGTCTTAGCCCCAGCAATCAGGCAACAAAAAGAATTAAAAGGTCTCCAGGGGTGCCTGGGTGGCTCAGTCATTTAAGTGTCCAATTCTTGATTTCACTCAGGTCACGATCTCATAGTTCACAGATTTGAACCCCACACTGTCAGTGTGGAGCCTGCTTGGGATTCCACCCCCCAACTCACTCTCTCTCAAAATCAGTAAATAAATAAAAGGCATCCAAATCGGCAAGGAAAAGGTCAAACTTTCACAATTTGCAGACGACATGATACTCTATATAGAAAACCCACAGGACTCCACCAAAAAATTGCTAGAAGTGATACACCGGTTCAGCTAAGTCGCAGGATCCAAAATCAATGCACAGAAATCTGTTTTTATACACCAATAGTGAAGGAGCAGAAAGAGAAGTCAAGGAATCGATCCCATTTACAACTGCACCAAAAACCAGAAGATACCTAGGAATAAATTTAACCAAAGCGGTAAGAATTATGGAGACAAGCTAACGGAAACAGAAGTTTGAAGGGGCTCTCGCTGCACAAATCAGGGACAAATAATGACAAATATTGTAACCCATTAAGCAAAAAGAACTCTAAGTCCACACTTGATAATGTCCCACAAAATATTAAATATAAGTGAAGGAAAGAAAAAGTAACAGGCATACGCTACCTGAATCATAACCAAAGTGGACATCACCAGTAATGGAACAAATCAAAGTTGTGTGCTGATAGGATGCAGTGAAAAAGAACAAAAGCATCACTTCTCTGATCCTCCTGCCAAAGATCTAGAACCTAAATCTAATACCAGATGAACCCCAACAGTACTGGGGGGGCAGGCTCACCAAAGACTGAGACTTCATCACAGGACTACAAAACCCCCTCCCTCTCCTTCACCTCTAAATTACCTAAGACCTGTTTTCTTCTTACCCAGGGTATCACATCCACTTTTCAACAAAACAGTACAAGGCACACTAAAAAGCAAAACAAAAAAACAAAACAACCCAAGCTTCTCTTTCAGGAAAATAAAATAAGAGCAGCACATTTTTGCAGATCAAATTCAGTCGGCAGAGAAAGAGACCTAATAAAAACCGAAAGCTGGCTCTCTGAAAACATCAATAAAATCAGTAAGCATTTAGCCAAGTTACCAAGAGAAAAAGAGAGAAAATACAAATTCCTAATATCCGAAATAAAAAGAGAATCACTGTACAGTCCATAGACATTAAAAGGATACTGAAGGAATGTTACACGAACGACTTTTTATCCACAGATTGGATTGCCTGTAAGAAATGGGCCAACTCCCTTGAAAGACACAGTCTGCCAAAAGTCACACAGGAAGAAACACACAATCCAGACAGGCCTATATCATTTCGTGAAATTGAATCAATAACAACTTTACACAACAGAAAGTACCAGACCCTGATGACTTCAGTGGTGAATCCTACCCAACATTCAAGGAAGAAAGACCAATTCTCCACCATCTTTTTCAGACAACGGAAGCAGAAGAAATAATCCCTAACTCATTCTATGATGCCAGCATTTAAAACCCTGATGTCAAAACCAGACCCAGACATTACCCAACAAGAACACAAGAGACCACTAGCTCTCATTAACATACATGCACAGATTCTCAACAACCTATTGGCCACGTGAATCCAACAACGTATAAAAAGAACCATACACCACAACCAAATGCGATTTTTTTCAGGTACGCGAGACTAGTTCAACATTCAAAAATCTGCTAATATAATCCATCACATCACAAACTAAAGAAGAACAACCACCTGATGGTATCAAAAGATGCAGAAAAAGCATCTGACAAAATCCCACACTCGGTAATGATGAAACACCCTCAGGAGACAACTAGAGAGTAACTTCCTCGACTTGATAAAGAACATCCATAAAAATCCTCCAGAAACAAGGCAAGGAGATCCCCTTTCATCACAGCTTTGTGGTGCCAGACTACACGTCCTGACAAACGCAGGAAGATAAGCAAAGGAAACAAAGGCATGCCAACTGGGAATAAAGACATGATATGGTCTTTGTCTGCAAATGATGCAAAGTCTATTCCCAGCAGAATCAGACCTATAAATACACAAGGAACAAACTGGTGGCTGCCAGAGGGAAGGGGGGCGGTGGCCACAACGAATGAAGGGGAATGGGAGGTACAGGCTTCCGGTTACGGAAGGAGTAAGTCACAAGGATGCAAGTCACATCACAGGAACACAGCGATGTTATTATGACAGCCGTACGGTGACACGGGGTCTCTACACTTGTGCTGCGCGCAGCATCACGAACAGACTGGTCAAATCACTATGTCGTACGCTTGAAACCATTAGGACATTTTACGTCAACCGTACTTCGGTGAAAAAAAAAAAACAAGTGTTTGTCAGAGTTAGGCAGAAAGGAGGGAGAAACGGCACAGACGGGTTTCAGGGCAGTGACACCGTTCTGTGGGAAACTACAGTCATAGACGTAGGTGATTACTCGTTTGTCAAAACTTACAGAACATAAAACGCCAAAAATAAATGCTAATGTCAACTGTGGACTCCAGGTGATAAGTGATTGGCTCATGTAGGCTCATCACTTTTAACATGTGGCCCCTCTGGCCGGGGAGGTGGACAGTGGGGCGGCTGTGTGGCTGAGGAGACCAAGGTCCACAGCAACACTCTGCATTTGACACTCAATTTTGCTGGGAACCTAAAACCACTCTAAAATAAAGTTTATTAATAACAAAAAAAAAAAAAAAGAAAAAGAAAAAAAGAAAAAACAAGGAAAGAAAAATATGAAGGTGTGGTTAACAAGTGAGCGGAGAGAGAACAGCGTAACTGTTTGGCTTTCTTGTGCTCATCCTAGGAAGAAAATTTTCCTAAATAGCCATCCTTAAGAATACACAATTGTGCTTTGTCATATACCAAATAAAGAAAGGAAAATCTTGTCTATTTCTAGCTCTTCTCTAGGAAGAGTTAGAGCAGTGCTGCACATTTAACAATACGACAACATCTGTCGGAGGCACCAGAGTAAAATGTGTTTACACTCCTACGTGTATTTTCCTATCACACCACCCACCGCTCCTGAAGCTCTAGTCCACAGATGCAACTTTTCAGACGACGTCCTTAAAAATGACGCACAAACCTTTTCCATCTCGAGGGGGGGCTCCTTTTGCTTTAAAACTATCCACTGGTGCCTTGGTGTCTGTTTCCAAACCAATGCTTATCTGTATCTCCGACTTGAACTTGGTGTATTTATTACTCAACAGCTGGTACCATTTTGGTGCCTGGAGAGAAAGTAACAACAAAACAAAAACACCTTAATAATTAATAGGAAACAAACAATAGTGAGAAATGTCCTATAAGCTTCCAAATATATTTCCTGTAGTTCCTTAGCACTTTCTCCTCTTTTAAAGTATTTTTCACATTTTCCTCAAAAGAATCTAATCCTGCTTAGGAAGCTAACTGTATTTCCTCTTAAAAAAAAAATAAGAAGTTTAGGGGGACCTAGGTGGCTCAGTTGGTTAAGCGTCTGACTTTGGCTCAGGTCATGATCTCACCATTCATGAGTTTGTGTCCCATGTCGGGCTCTGTGCTGACAGCTCAGAGCCTGAAGCCTGCTTCGGATTCTGTGTCTCCCTCTCTCTCTGCCTCTCCCCCACGTGCACTCTGTCTCTCTCTCTCTCTCAAAAATAAATATTAAAAACATAAAATGAAAATAAAAAGTTTAGACCACCAATTTTCCCTTTCCCTAACCCCTAATTTGTCACTTTTTCTGGTATATACCTTTGCTGCCTGCCACATTTCTGCTTTGTCCTACATATACCAAATGTGCAGAGAGCTACTGTTAACAAAAAGACACTAACAAAATACTGAAGGAAAGACCTAAGGTAGAGCTCTGGGTTATGAACCACATACTTGGCTGAAATATAAAGGCTTTCTCACAGGATGAAGTATCATAAATTACCTCAATATCCTGGCCACAGCAATGTGAGAAATTCCAATACTCAAACCAGCCTGCACAATCTCATGGCCCAGAACTGCATGTTGCAATAATGCAGGGACACCATTTCAATTCATGGAAACAGCATTCTTACTCTAACCACTATTATATAAAGACACAGAAATTGATCTTTATAGGGGCGCCTGGGTGGCTCAGTTGGTTACACACACCCACTTCTCGCTCAGGCTGCGATCCCAAGAGTTTGTGAGTTCAGCCTCCGCGCCAGGCTCTGTGTTGACAGCTCAGAGCCTGAGCCTGGCTTCAGATTCTATACCCCCTCTCTCTACCCCTCCCCTGCTCACGCTCTGTGTCTCTCTGTCTCTCAATAATAAATAAATGTTAAAAAAAATTTTAGCTTGCATGAAGGCCCCGACCAGCCAGGTCACGACCATGTCCTGCGGTGAGTTCAGCCCTCCCCACATCGGGCTTCCCCCTGGGCTGATGCCTCAGAGCCCGAGCCTGTTGCTCCCGATTCTGTGTCTCCCCTCTCTGCCCCCTCCCCCGTTCATGGTCTGTCTCTCTCTGTCCCAAAAATAAAAAATAAAAAAAAAAAAAAACGTTGAAAAGAAAAAAAAAAATTTTTTTTAAAGAAACTGGTCTTTAAGAATATCAAAACCAAAAGCTTCTGGTAAGTAAAATAAGACTAAGCCATCATTTTTTGGGTTTTTTTGTTTTTTTTTTTTCAAATCCACACCCAAGGTTTTTAACAGAAAAACTCATAATTTGTTGTGTATGTTTTTTATGATGGATCTTTACAATTTTAAGTCTAAGCCTGAAAAAGAGTTTTAGCTACTCAGGGAATTTATGCTATGTTTTTCTGTTTTAGAACTTGGAAAAACAAAGCTTATTTTTTTGTGTTTCTTTTCATTTACAGATAATCAATTTATTCTGAACTTCAAATATTCTACGTACCAACTTCAGATAGTTCTATTAATAAACAGGAGTGATTAAGACAACATCTGCCTTTCTTAAAAGTCTTAATTCTGAAACATTTCCCCTGAACTCTGTTAATGATAAGAAGCAAATGTAATGACAAAAGCGTCCTACAGGACCAGATAGGGCAGGTGGGACAGGGGCAGAAAGGAATGCCACGTGCATTTACAGCTATCCTCCCCCTAAAACGATTACCTTCTGTGTAACCAAAGCAACCGCAAAAGGATCCTGTGCAGTTGTAGCACAGCCAGGGAAGAGATACATCAGGGGCATGATCGTGGCTCCTGGTTGAGGGGCTAAGACTTCAGAAAGAAAACCTCTTCAGAACCTAGGGACAGAGAGGTGAGGAGTACCCAAGGAGGGAGGAGAAACAGATTCCCTTTTAGAGAACTTTTTCCCATTTCTTTTGAAGGATTCCAAATGTGGGCTAAGCTAACTGGCTCCTTTGTAAACACCGTGGCTATCAGTAGCGAACATGTTGCTAAGAGATCAATTTTTCTTCAGAGAATCCTAATTTAGGATTCACATCAAGAATCAAAGACTTCAAAAGTAAGTTTATTTGTTTGTTTTTGTTTTAAGTGACAAAACAAAGTTATTAAGAACTATTCAAAGTATTTCCAAAGTCAGTAACATAAAAAAAGGTGAGAAAAGGCGTGCGTGGGTGACTCAGCTGGTTAGGCGTCTGTTGATTTCAGGTCTGGTAATGAGCACGGAGACTGCTGGGATTCTCTCTCTCCCTCACTCTCTCTCTCTCTCTCAATATAAATATATAAACTTGAAGGAAAAAAAAAGATTGGTAGATATTTTAAAAGAGAAAAGAAACATTTTCAGTAACAAAAAGCACTGACGTAGGAATCGAGACCCTGAATTATTTTTCCTTCCTTATGTGTGTGCTCCTGGCAAGGCTGCTGTTTATGTCCCATAAGTGTATTTCACTGAGCTCACGTGTTCTGACTGCTACACACAGAAGGAATGGGAAGCAGGGGAAGGAGTCAGAAGGCTACTAGCACAGCCAAGGTTAAGAAAGGACGGTGCCTTAGCCTGGGATCGCAACGGCGAAAATGTACAACAGGAGCTGGATCAGGAAGGGGTCGCCGCAGGCCTGAAACCAACTGAAAAAGGATGGCTACGGAGGCCGGAAATGGAGGCCGTCTGGCCTGCGTACCTGGAAGAGGGGTGCCGTTCACCAGAGCAGGGCACGCGGCAAAAGCACTACCTCTGAAAGCAAAGCTTGGCAGCTGAACATGCTGAGCTCCAGGTCACAGCGATGCGGCCGAACGTCTGAGCTCAGAGAGAATTTTCTTTGAGAAAGGTCGTTCTAGGTCAAAGAAATGACCAAAATATTGGGACTCTCTAAATCAAATTCCTAAAGTGAAACCTCAGAATCGCCACACCGGCTCAGACCCTCGCCCTTTCAGGTCCAGTACCACAGGTTCTTTCCATCAATGGGTTATCTACGAAAAATCCGCACCTAACCTCATCGGTAACAACACATCAAAAGGGCAATACCTGCTTTGTTTCTTGAGCAGTCCTCAAGTCTAGCACAATGTAGCCTATAGTTTCCTTGGCTGAAGATACGGGATCCAAGGCAAAACACTGCAGTTTGATCGGCGTGCGTTGCAGCCTGTAACGTAACAGTTTATGTTATAGACGAACTAGCTTCTGCTTAGTATTGAGCTGATGTTCTGCTAGTTTTGAAAAGCTGCCTGCTACTAGCAAGACAACTATAATTCTTTCGGATAATCTCTATTTTCTGCAAAACTTCAACTGACATGAACTATTCATCATGCCTATTTATCTTTACACCAAGTAATACTACAACCACATCAGAAATCTTGGTCTCTCTCATCTGAGGAGCTATGCTGTAGGTCATTGCTTTTCAAGCTTCTCTACCGTACAGAACTCTTTAAAAGTTAATAAATTAAAATTGAACATGAATCTTCAAGAGTGATTTTAAATTATCCTTACACTGTCATACACACATAAAACTACCGATACACATATGTGCTTAAAGCTCTTTTTGTCACTAAAATGATGAAATCAACTTCAGAATTAAATACCATAAAATCACAGACTATTGAAAGTAATAATTCATTGTAATACACAACAATGTTCTGTAAGCATGACCTTGGCTGGTATAGCAGGGGTTCTTGAGAGTCTGAAACCTCTATACTGGCTCATACATAAGTTCATTAGATTCGACCATCACTGTTACCTAATGGAATGACTATAAAACTTGCACTTGGCATACAGTCATCATTTATATACATGCAATTTATCTGTGTTCTTTTCTCAGCCTCCAACACGCAGAGTGGTACCACTTGGCATTAACACAACTGTGAACACTGCGGGCACTAATACCTCCTATCAGGACTCTGTGCAGATATTCCAGAAGTCACTGAACACAAAATTTTGATCTTCTAAGAATTTAATGCCCTTGCAAATCCCCCAAACAAATCCATGGACCGATTTGGCCACATAAGAAAATAAATTTCTCCTTACATTGACTTTTTAACTTCGTAATTTTATTTGCTTTAGTCCTAAGACACACCAATGAATGAAGTGATTCTGTGCTTTTCAGAAAAATGTTTTTCCAATACTTTTTAAAACAGAAGTAGCCACACTCTTGCCTGTTTCGAGTCATCTGAGCTCATGAAATAAATAAGAGGCTGTAGCTTTAAGCCTGTTTTATGTACTGATATGAAGTGTTTAAAGGGCTAAAATGAAGTATAAAATTTATTAGAGACCCTTACATAATTACTATACACATATCTCTACATATCCTTAGCAAGCCAGATAAAGTTATGATAAAGGAAGTAATAGAAATTACAGTGAATTCCAACCCATGTTTAATATTGGGTAGCTATCATTACAGCACTTCTAGAGTATCCTCTCAGACATCAGGAAAAAAAAAAAGCTACGTGTAATGGTTAAAAACTTAGGCTCTAGAACTCAAATGGCTGTGCTCTACCATTATCCAGCTGACTCCCTTGTAACAGGTTACTTACCTTCTTAGGCCTCACTTTTTTCATCTGTAATTGGGGGAAATCCTAACACCCACTTCATAGGATTGTCTTGATGTTCAAATGAATTACTATTGCAAAGTACTTTGAAAACTTCCTAGCACATGAGGAAACCACTAAACAAGTATTATCATTGTTACCATAATCTAGAAAGATAGAGATTTATTCATCTCTAGCAGCCTAAAACCTAGAGCAAAACAAATGGAAAACAACAGTCACCTGTGCTGATGGAGTGCTTTCCTGTCGATCTCCCAGGCTAACTCGGTAGCAAATTCTGGCTGGTCGGTGTGGTTCACAGGGTCAGTGGCCAACTGTTCTCCGTCAAACTTTGCTTCTACTATAAGCATATGTTTTGGACGCTTGGGGAAATGACGACCTGGAAAAAAAGACCATACAGGTTAATCAGAACTGTACAAAAATCAACTATGATCTTTTAGCACTTTTTAAAAATACACATTAGGAGTTGTTGACTTATATAGTCCACTAACTACCTACTAATGTGTACTCTCACGTACAAATTCATGATTCATAAGAAAGAATCAAACTGAAAGCTACAATTTGTAAATTAGTGATTCCAAAACATTAACGTGCACATGAATCACCTGGGGACTCTGTTAACATGTAGATTATGGTTCACTAGTCGAGGCTGAGAGGCTTTTTTTTAAAACATTTATTCATTTTTGAGAGACACAGTGTGAGTGGGGGAGGGGCAGAGAGGAAGACACAGAATCGGAAGCAGGCTCCAGACTCCAAGCTGTCAGCACAGAGCCCGATTTGGGGCTCGAACTCACAGACCATGAGAGCAGGACCTGAGCTGAAGTCAGAAGCCCAACTGACTCAGCCACCCAGGTGCCCTCTGAGAGGCACATTTCTAACAAACCCCCACATGATGTCAATACTATTGTCCTTGATTCACGCTTTGAGCAGCAACGATCTCAGTGACGTTTAGAAGAAAAATGTGATTCCACTAATTTTAGATATTACTGTATCAGAAGTTAAAATGGAATAGTCAAGTCTTCTGGAGAGCTGGGAAATAACCCAATAAGCAAAAGCCAACCAACATGCATCATAATTTTCCTGTTAACACAGTTAGGAACACTCAGCAAATCAGCCCAAGAAAAACAGACACACGTATTCATTCATTCAAATCTCAAGGACAATGTTGTCAATCATTTTAAAAGTGTTCTGTCTACCTATCACTTTTCCCTGGTACTGCCTGACCCCCTTCTTTCACCGTTTACTAAAGGCATTATCAGAGTCAGGTATTCTCTATGTCAAACGATGGGGTACAAACAAGAGTAAAACAGAGTACATCGCCTCAAGGAATTGAGGTTCTAGTGGAAAGAAGCAAACTGAAAACAGTGCCAACAGGAAGCTAAAAACTAGGGAAGAATCTCACAGTCAACCTGTTTGTAGGTCTGGCGCAGGGCATGGCGTTGAGACACGTGTCTCAACACGTTTTGACCGATATTAAATAAATACATCCCAGCTGCTACTCACCCTGCTACACTCTTCTCAGTAGGAAGTAAAAGGGTCAGAGAGATTCTTGATTGCAATCCTCTGACTTTCAACCTGAAGCTCTCGCTTCAAACTCCCCATTTGGGAGTCTTAGTACAAGTGTCTTAGCAGGGGTCTCCCAATTAGCACTTACAGGGGCCTCTCTCTGGACATCATTTTGAGCTGCTCTAAAAGATCATGGGGTTCCCCAAATGCATTTCATGTCTGTCAGAAAGCCTGTATTCTCAGCCACACCATCATAACCATACCATCCAGTTAGCCTGAGAACAGAGAATATGTACTGGAACGAAGGGCTGCCTCCCTCATTCCACAGACAATACCTTGAGAACAGAAACCTTGTCTTTTTCATCCATGGATTCCGGCACATAGCCCAAATTTGGCTCATGGTAGAAACCTCATCATTTTCTTTTGAATAATGGGCATTTCTAGAAGTGTAGTCAAGAAACTGCACGTAGCTCAAAATAACTGAAGAGATGGGGACGTAGGGACAGATGGCAAAAGAGGAGAAGAGGCTGAAAAGGCAGGCAAGAGGCATACCGTGAAGGGCCATGAATGCTATTCTAGAAAGTACAGACCTTATCCTCTAGGAAACTGTAGGATTTTTAAGACAATTAAATTCGCATTTCAGAAAGATTACTCCTAGATGGTAATATGAACAATAGACATTCTCTGGAAAGGGGGGAAAAATTGATGAAACAGACCACTGAAAAGATTACTACAAGAGATCAAGCGCATCATGAGGGGCTCAAAGCGGGGCACTCACAGTGGAAACTTCCTCCTTTAAAAGTTTACATGAAGCACCCCGTATGATTTTAGCAACAAAGCTTGGTGACCATCTGGAAGGGGATGGAGAAGGAACCAGGAACATGAAGAGTCCCAGGTTCTGGGCTTGAGGCAACAACACGGTTATGATGAATGGAAACACAAACACAAAAGGAGACAGTTTGCACGGAGGTCCATGGTCCGGTTTTAGGTATGTTTAGGGCAACACCTAACCGACAGCCCTGAATTGAGGTTCTCTTCTCTGCACACCGATACTAAACTTGCAGATAATGCTCTCCTACTTAGAAATATAGGCTGCCTCCCTATTTTTTAGAACATTGAACTCCTTGGCTTTCAAAATCCTCCAAGGCCTGCTCACTCCAGCTACACAAGCTTATTTGACCAGAATACTCCTCAATGTTCACCTCCCTTGACCCTGGTCATCTTGCGGGACCTCTTCATCATTCCATCCACCAAAATTACTCCATCATTGGCCTGGGGTTTGTTTTTTATTTTCCGTTTTTCTTAAGTTTATTTATGTATTGTGAGAGAGAAGAGAAGCAGAGGGAGAGGGAGAGAGAATTCCAAGCAGGCTCCGTACTGTCAGCGCGGAGCCCGAGACGTGGTTTGAACTCATGAAATGAGAGATCATGAGCTGAGCAGAAAGCAAGAGGCAGGCAGTTAATGGACTGAGCTACCCAGGCACCCCTGGCCTGGGTTGATCTAATGGCCAGCAGGGACTTCCTCCCATCATTACCTAGCTACTCAAAGCCCTTAAGCCATCATCCCCACCCACCCCCAAAACCGATGTTTACAGCTCACATCCCATATTTTTAATATTATACTGCACTCCAACATACTGTGTCCTGCCTGTGAACTTGATCTTCTGAAAAAGACAGAATCCTACATCCTTGAAGGGAAAGAACATGCCTTTTATTTGGGTTTCCTCATAGGAGGGAGCAAGTACCAAGTCCAGAAGCTTTTGTTGACCAATTACAAGGGGATTTCAGCCCTCTGTCTTTAAACAATCAGTAAGAGAAGAGCTAAAAATGCTGCCCCAACAATTTAGGGGTTCTGGTCAGTTTTCTGTGCCAAAAGCCATTACCACTCATTCCCTCTTACCACCCACCCCCACAAATAGTACCAGGCCTCCACAAAATACCTCCAATGGTGGGGGAGGGGGGCAGAAGGCAGCCATTCCTCAGGCCCAACTCAAGAGGACTGCTGTGATCAGATTATTCAAAACCCATCTTCTTTTTTTTTTTTTTTTTAACGTTTATTTATTTTTGAGACAGAGAGAGACAGAGCATGAATGGGGGAGGGGCAGAGAGAGAGGGAGACACAGAATCGGAAACAGGCTCTGAGCTGTCAGCACAGAGCCTGACGCGGGGCTCAAACTCAGGGAGCGTGCGATCATGACCTGGGCCGAAGTTGGACGCTTAACCGACCCAGCCACCCAGGCGCCCCTCAAAACCCATCTTCAACTTACCTAGCAATTCCTACTCCCTCCACTTGTCTGCAGCTTCTCTCCAACCACACTGAATTTAAGCAAGGGCAGAATGTGCCTGGCCTTTCCACACCTTAAGGGTTCTTTCCTCTTCCCTTTGCCTCGAAAGCCCACCCTTTCCCTTTTCTCCTGACACATTCCTACTCATCCTTTAGGACCCAAATAAATGTCACCTCCTCCGGGAAATTTTCCCCACAGCTGGTCTTTCCTTCTCCCACAGCCTGATGAACTATACACATTCTCCAGGCTATACTGTTTACTTAGGTTTTAGGACCCGGGCTGTTTTACCCCTACATTCCCAGCAGTGCCTGACACTCCATGAGCCTGCAATAAACAAAGGTCACTCCTTCAACACACCAAACTTCTAGGAACGTATATAACAGACCGTCTTGACAACTACTCCTCCTAAGTCCCCTATGAAGACTTAGTAAAGGGAATGGCCCCCGTAACACTTCAGACTGCAGGAAATAGGGATTCGAGTCGAAAGCAAAGCTCTCACAAATGGGATCACCGGGAGGCCCCTGAACAGAACGTGCTTTCCAGGCACCTTAGCTCACGAGTCAAAGTCATCGACGTGCTGCTTCTGATGGAAATCGTTTTTCCTACGTTCTCTGGGGCTCCAGCTATTCACGCTAAATATCACCTATCCCTAATAGCTCTCACGCTCCCTTGAGAGGTTTCTAAATCAGTCGCCTAACAGGCCTCAGGAAGTACAACTTTGAACAAGTCTTGCGGGACTGCAAAAGGAAAGATGACAGGGTTCGTAAGGTTAACGAAGTCTCAGTCGCACGCCACTCGGTTAAGTAAGGAGGCTGCAGGTGCAAATGCAAGCCCCTTGGCCGCTCACCTTCTAGGATGGATACGACGATGAGCAGTTGGTCGGACTTGGAGACCATGGTCGCGGTGGGCGGCCCACAGGCGGGGTCTGCTTGGGGGAAGAGGGACCCGGGTGAGATGCTGGAGGCCCGCGACCACCAGGAGGAGGGCTCCCTCCGGGGCTCCCACCGCCCGCCCGCGACCCCCGACGCCGAGACCCCGCTCCTCGGCCCAGGCCCGCCGCCGCCTGCAGCGCGCCCGGCTCCCCTGCCCCGGACCGCCAGCCCGACCCTAGCCCTGCCCCGACTCCACGGAAAGGCAAAGGCCGCTCGGTCCCCCGGACTGTCTGCAGGGAGAAGTGAACCCGCCACCGGAGGACCTTTTGCCGCCTGTGTGGCCGCTTTTCAAACGCCCGGGCAGCCGCAGCGGCAGCCGCCGCGCCCCGCTTCCGCCTAGCAACCAGGCCCGCAGGCCCAGTGCAGGGAGGGCGAAAGCTGGAGGACAAAGGGTGATAGAGACCAGGGCAGTCGAGGATAGAACGCCCCTCAGCCCGCTTCGCCTCCTGCCCTTTTATGCTACGTTCCAGAGCCCTGGGGAAAGACTAGGCCATCACCTCACAGCGCCCCCTGCTAGCCGGATGGGGGAAGGCGGGCGAGTTGGCGGGGACCGACTGCGCAGGCGCACTACTGCAGCAAACGCTGCCTGCAGTGCCCCTGCGTGGAGTGTCAGTGTGGTGTAGTCTCTGCTTCCCCCCCCAGACACACCTGGGAAATCCAGCAATAGACACTGAAAACACGCACGCGCACACGCACACACAAAACCAGCTCCGTTCCGATCCCCGGTGTCACTACTGCTTAAAAATTAGATCACAGAGTTATCTAATGAATCTCACATCATCTACTAGAAGAAATTCAGACTTAAGTCTGGACTGAAAAAAATCTCTAAGTAGGACTCGCGCCGCACCGCGAGTGTTCACGTTTTGGAAACAAGTCGCGTCAATACGGTAATTACTGTAACTGCTGGAGGTGACGTAAACTCTCCGAGAATTTCCTGTGCTTTAGAAACAAAAACACTGTCACGTGGGTAGGGGAATTAAAAGTATAGGTTCTTCGGGCCCCCTGACAACCGAGTAACTAATTAGCACAATCAAGACCCCAATTAAAGAAGGCATTCCTCCCAACCTTCGGGCTTTATTTTAGGAAAGATGAGAAATCTTTTGGGGGTTATCTACCTTGAAAATGGACCTCGGGCGGGGTAGAGGGAGAGAACAAGGAGGAAAAAACAATCCCCACCCCACCCGCATTTGTGCCCAAAAGGAAAGGAGAGGGATGTGGAGATCGGGCTAGACGACTTCTAAGACCCTTTTCCGTTCCCTTCAGAGCTCCTTGAAATGAGGCATTATGCAATATAAAACCAAATCATCTACTTTGGGTTCATCACTGAACAATGCATTGTTTTGTGTAAGATGTACATACAGAATCCAAAGTAGATACCATAATATAGTAAACCATCAAGTACCCAGAACCCAGCGTCAACAATTATCGTTTAAAGATCAATCTTCATCTGCTCTGTTAACTTGCAGGAAGCCCCTAATATCGTATCAAGTCATCTCTTCGATATCTACCTGTGAAAGAGAAAGATTTTTTTAAATTTTTTTTAACGTTTTTATTTATTTTTGAGACAGAGAGAGACAGAGCATGAATGGGGGAGGGGCGGAGAGAGAAGGAGACACAGAATCGGAAGCAGGCTCCAGGCTCTGAGCCATCAGCCCAGAGCCCGACGCGGGGCTCGATCTCACGGACCGTGAGATCGTGACCTGAGCCGAAGTCCGATGCTTAACACTGAGCCACCCAGGCGCCCCGAGAAAGATTTTTTAAGTAAGATTTTAAGAATCTTAAAAGATCTTTTAAGATTCTTAAAATCGTACTTAATTGCATTATTTTACCTAAAAAATAAATAAATAAAAATAATTCTCTAAAACCTTTAAGTATACACCGTTGAAATTTCCCTGATTGTCTGATAATTGTTTTCCAGTTGTTTTCTTCAAATCAGGATCCATAGAGGTTCCAAAACACAATGTACTTGGTTGACCTGTCTTTTGCCTCATTTAATGGATAGGTCGCTCCCAATTTTTTTTTTTTTTCCCCTTGAAACTCTTTATGAAATCAGTTGGTCATGTATCCTGCGGAGATTGCCACAGTCTCAATTTTGTGGATACAATACAAATGTCATTATTTTACACACCCTCTATGGAGCAGTCTAATAAATATGTCTACACCGACAATACTCAAAGATCAGCAAACAGATCAACAACAGCAAGCAAAATACAAGCTTATTATGGTGTAAAACACTCTTTAGTTTAACCCTTAGACAGAAGGAAGCCAAAGCAATGAAACCAGTGTCTCCAAAGGAGAGAATACTCCTGGAAATCAGAATCTGGGACCTACTCCTACGACTTACCTGCTAGGTGACCTTAGACAAGTCCCTTCACCTCTCTGAGCCCCCGTTTCAGCTCTACAATAGTAGTATACATAATTTCTTAGTTCAGGACCTAAATGTATTAAAGGCCGTTTGGTTATCATCTTTTGATATGAGCAGTAACAGACCTTAAGTTAGTAGCTGTAGAGAACTAGGAATTGCCATCAACATGGCCTCGTTGTTTTTGTTTTAGGATCTCCATCCAGCAGGGCTGAAAAGCTACATTGTAAGCCATCACTGGATGCCAGAGAATAATCTCAAATCAGAAAAGAAAAATCTGACAAATCATTAAAATTAACTCAGAAACTTTCACATAGTACAATTTTCATATAGTTCCCTTTAACTGGACTTTCCCCCTCCCCTGAACAACACGATTACTCTCAAAATCATGTCATCAGAGCTTCTGAAGTCATTGACGTAGCTGGTTCTCTTTTTACATACTGTACAAAACTAACGACAGAAAATTCCCCATATATCCCATCCAGAAATGAAATTATAATGCGAATCCGCAGCGATAGGCTCTTCACCTGTTATTCTATCATCTAATTTTTTCATATGCGGTATTCAACAGTGGTAACTTCAGTTCTGGCATAAACCCTATGTCAGCTTAAATTTACTTAGGTAAATGCTAATAGGATATAAAAATGTTGTCTAGTCGACAATGTGAGATTCGTTATAAACATGCAAATTCAAATTGTCAACCTAAAAGCTTATCATATTAGGAAGCTTTCTCTTTCTATGAATTTCTATCAAAAAAACAAACCCCAAGAAAGCAAAGTATTTTGACTCATGTTAGGTCTTTTTCTGGAGCTATTGTACATTTTGGAAAAACACTCTCCTTATAGTATGTCCGTATAGTTTTTACCTTTTCAGCAATATTTCTGGCCCAAGACAGGAAGGATCAGGAACTATGTTCCCCTTGCTCAGTCCTTTCCCTTGTCTTTTCCCCTTGTCACCCTACACACACACACTCACACACACATGCGCTTAGTACAATTCCAGACAAGCTACCAGGAGTAACAACGTGAACACATTTATTGAATAAGTGCTATTTATAAGAGCATGGAGCCAGACCCTGACCCTCCAGAGAGTCTTAGAAAATAGTTTCCTTCTGGCAGGGAGTGAGAGTGGAGGTACTAACTGGTACTCAGTGTCAAGGTGACTTCACTTCCAACTCAGCCTCTGATATCGTTAAACTTGGCGATGAATTCAGGTGTCCTTACTCCCCTGAAGAAGGGCCACTAACACCCACGATAAGAGGGGCAGGGGAGCCCCAGAGGGAAGACCCATGCATACCAGCGTTCCAAGTTTCCACCATGTTATTAGCTTTGTGACTTGGCCGAGTCACTTTCTTCTGAACCTCAGTTTTCCCCTCCGTGAGACAGGGTGTATTTGTGAGGATTAATTGGCATTGTTTCTGTGAAGAACTTGGGCCATAATGAAATCTCTGAATGTGGTAGCCATTTTTATTGTTCACGTGGACGGATAATTTATTCCGGTCTTCGTCATTTGTTTCTTTTTTGGTTCTACAAAGACAACCATATTTTTTTTTTATATCCCCTCACCTTGGCCTATATTTATGTTCTAAGGGTGATATCTGCCCCCCCCCAAAAAAAAAGTGTTTGTCTCCCTGGCTCTTGTGAAAGACCAGAAGAGAGAGTTCCAAAGTCCAACACTCCTTCAGGTCAGGCGGTGCTAGTAACTAGTGACGAATGCTGGGCTGCACCAGGACAGAAGCAGAGCACTGTGGTTGTCTAAAGGGACAGCCCTTCTCTCCCCAGCTGGTTATTGCCATGCAGCAAAAGCCAGATTTTCCAAAATTCCTTAAGAAGCTGGAATTATAGATTTTAATGTGCACGCATTTGATTTTTAAATGCTGGTTACTAATTTCAGTTAAAAACCAAAACAACAAATGGCAGCCCTTGGATATACACAATGTGGTGGACCTCACATGCTTTGGTCTCCTCAGATGCTATAAATATATTCTCATTGAAATTAAAGACATAACCCCCCCCCAAAAAAAAACCATAACAACACGATACAAGCCAACCAAAACTTTTTCCAGCCACACTTTAGTTACCTCTGACCTACATTCTGTAAGGTGGTTCTAATAGGCATCCCTGAAGGGCAGAGAAAGGATAGTAGAAAGGAAAAGAGAAGAGATTATCCTAAAGTGGGAAGGAGAGGGGTGAAGGACAGTGTGGTGGGACCCGCATTCCAACCCTTGACAGAACTTTCAGGAAGGGATTAGCAACAGGGACTAGAGCTGATGGATCCCCAGGGAACAGAGACTGTAGACCCCCGTTTGTCATACTTGGCACAAGTTTTTATGCCCCTATTTTTTTTTAATGTTTATTTATTTTTTAGAGAGAGAGACAGAGCATGAGCAGGGGAGGGGCAGAGAGAGAGGGAGATACAGAACCTGAAGCAGGCTCCAGGTCTGAGCTGGCAGCACAGAGCCTGATGCAGGGTTCAAAACCATGAGCAAGATCATGACCTGAGCTGAAGTTGGACACTCAACCGACAGCCACCCAGGCGCCCCATCTTATGCCCCTAATTTGACACAGAATAAATCAGCAAAGTCACTAGAAGAGTCCATGAA